GCTTGTCCATACACAGGAACATTTTATGAAGATTCCTCCCACCACCCCAAGCGAATGCAGGTGAAGGGGGGGGGGGAGGATGATTTTGGGGAGTGGAAGTCCACTCATCTTAAAGTGGCCAGGTTTGGACAACACTGCCTTAGGACAATCAGCTTTGTAATGGGAGTCTATTATTGGCATTTCTTTATTGCAGCTCTAATCTTGCGAAACAGTAACTGCAAAATGTAAATTATAAAAAGTGAACAAAGTTACAGAGCCAGTTGGGTGTAGTGGTTAAGGCACCAAACTAGAAACTGGGAGACCCTGTGTTAGCCTTGAGAGATAGTCCAGACAAGAAGCACACCCAGAAATAGTAGTTTTCTTTATTGTAAGGTTACATTAACCACATCTTGCAAGTCTGAAAGTACCCCTTCCATCACTCACTTTTACTCTCCCCCAAAATAGGGAGGGTCCCTTCTGAGTCACTCTTACCACCCCTCCTCCTGCAGACTCAAATTTTGTTTATCGGACCATTGTCTAGGCTGCAGCTGCTCCTCCTGTCTCCCAAGGTTATTTCCACATACTTTTACACCATGAACTCTAGTCCTGCCTTAGGCACAAAGCCAGCTGGGTGACCTTGAGCCAGCCACTATCTCTCAGCCCTAGGAAGGAGGCAATGGCAAGCCATTTCTGAAATCTTGCCATGAAAAGTGCAGGGACATGTCCAGGCAGTTGCCAGGAGTCAAGACTGACTCAAAGGCACAAACCAGAAACATCATCAACAACAACAAAATAACCCTACTTGATAATGAAATAAGCTAATGAAGAAAGAAATTGAAGAAGAAAATGTCTTTGTTTTTAATTAAAAGTTGATCAGTATTTCTTCATAACTCCTTGCCCCAAAAATGAATTTTGCAGCTGCCTTTATAACTGAAAGTGCTGTTTAAAAGCCCTTAAACAATTGCCTTCCTGCCACAGTTTTTCACACCTTTTGTATTATAGCTGCATTTGTATCTTCTCCTTAGAAGTAGCTAACATAAGAACTGAAAAGATGATAGTAGAGGGATTATTCCTCCTAACATTTCTAAATTACAATCTTATATGAGAATAGATTTTTATTTCAATAGAACATAGCAATCGTTGCTTCTCTATGGATGTCACTTTACCCTTGTCATGTAGTAGATATAAGAGCTGATGGGCTGAGAGAAATGTAGATAACTTGATGTTCCACTAATAAGAAGAACTTCAAGGTAATAATAACAGATGGTTACATTTTGATTTACTGGGCATAGATGCTAGAGATCTTCTAAGCAGAGAGATTGCATGGTTGGAGAGATAGAGAAAATGTTTTAAATCTGAAATGCTCTACCTTGAGCTTGGAACATGCTGTTTCAATAATTTCAGAATCACTTTGTGCTTGAAACACAGTGTTTTAGATGCCAAGGAGAGATGTTTCAAGCTGAAAACATTTCAGACATAATCAAGACAGTCCATTTGGAATGTGTGGCAGCTGTTTTGCACTCAAAACAACTACTTTGAACTTGAAGTGGGGCATTGTGAATTTGATCTGGTTCAAATCTGAAAGATTTTGCACAATGCTAGATCATAGTGGCAGGTCAGGAGGACTATACACAGGCAATTCAACGTGCAGTACTTTTTAATAAATGTAATTTTGAAAGATATAATATTAATTGGACATATGACACATTGATATTATCAGCAGTCATTAAGGTTACATACTTTTTCACTGTTTACTCAGCAGTCATTTAAATATGAATTTAAGTGACATTTAGGCAAGGGTTGAAACTGATGGGTTTTGCAAAATGCTTTAGAGAAAGTTTTAAAAACAAAACTTTAAGGCAACCTAAGTAAATAAGTAAATTTGCACACTGCCTGGATTTGCCAAGTTTCCTTCTGGAAAGATTGAATTTTATTTTGAATTGTATTGAATGTATATATTCAGCATTTGGGCTTCTTTGTTTAGAGTGAATAGTAGCAAGATAGGGGAAAAGATGGACCTAAAAAGTCAGCCCTTACAAAGTTAGAAATCATAAATTGAAATTAAATATGAGAAAATTCAGGACTGATAAATTGAAGTACTTCTTAAACCAGCATGCAGTTAAGCGATGGAATTCACTAACAACAGGTGTGGTGATGGTTAGCAGTTCAGATATTTTAAAAAAATGAACTAAGAAATTCATGGAGAGTAGGGCTATCACCTGCTCTTAATCTTGCAGTGATGCGATATTTTTCACCCAGCAGCAGTAAATGCAGTCAGCAGGGATGGAGCAAAGGAGTGGCAAAGAAGACATTCAGTCACCTGTTTCAGAAAGTGAGGAAAACAGCCGCGGCTTTCCCGGTTACTGCTAATAGGTGCAGGGCAGAACCTCGGTCCAAGTCCTGGACATTGGGCTTTGCCAGCCTCTCTGCTGGTTTTCAGCCAGCACTGCAAGCCCCAGGGCCTGCAGGAACAAAAATAATTAAAATTCCCCTCTCACCCCTGCGGGTGCTAGGTGTCTTCCTCAGTCCTGGGAGTCTGAGGGTCCTGCGCAGGATCTGAGCTGTTCCTGGCCCTGCACTCTTCCGCACAGAGAGCTTGGATGTTGTTCCTGGGATCTGTTGGAGCCCCTCTCCCAGCTTAGGAGTCACAGCCCTGAGTTTTCCTACCACCACTGGGACTACTTTGGCCTTGACTTTCCACATCCTCTCTAGTTCCTCCTTCAGGCCCTGGTACTTTTCCAGCTTCTCATACTCCTTCTTCCTGATGTTGTTGTCACTCGGCACTGATACATCTATCACCACTGCTATCTTCTGGTATCTATCTATCTATCTATCTATCTATCTATCTATCTATCTATCTATCTATCT